TTTTTTTTTTTAAGAGAGTCTCACTTTACTGCCCTTGGTAGAGTGTAGTGGTGTCGTAGCTCACAGAAACCTCCAACTCCTGGGCTTAGATGATTCTCTTGCCTCAGCCTCCCTAGTAGCTGGGACTACAGGTACCCACCACAACGCCCAGCTATTTTTTTGTTGCAGTTTGGCCGGGGCTGGGTCTGAACCTGCCACCCTAGGTATATGGGGCCGGCGCCCTACCCACTGAGCCACAGGCGCCGCCCCTAGTTGTGGACAGTGGGTAACACATGGACTCAGAATAGTTTTAGTGGACGGTCCTTACCTGTAAATGTCTCCCACTTTGTTCTTGTCCACTCCTCTCTGTGCCCGGGGGACAGAACAAGACCCAAACCCAAGTCTCTCTGTTTAGGAGATTGTGTCTTCCTTACTGTCAAGTTTTGGAGAATTCTTAGGAAGCTTCACATCACTCTTGCCTTCACCCTCACTGAGCACTCCCTGTGTGAGACACTGAGGGAACAGAGGTGAATGTAGTATGATTCCCACACTGACCTCTCCCCACCTTGCCCCTGAAAATGAAAGCTTGTGCCTCCTGGAGGAGACAGACAGCTCAAGCCAGTACAGAATGACTGTAGGAGCTGATGTCTCCCAGACAGGTAGGGCAACCAAGTAGGAAAAATATAGGGCTGAATGAGCCTGGGAAGCCTGGTTTTGCTACCATCTGGACCTTGGCATAGATACTTCTGTGGCCAGCCTGAGGCAAGGAGATAGCTCATCCTTGCTGCCTCCCAGCCCCTGTAGTGAGGACCAAAGCAAGCAACAGTATGAAAGGTTCAGGAGAGCCATGATGGGTCTTCAGGCCTGTATAAGAGCACTTCATCCCCTGACTTCAGGGGTACGCCCAGATGAGCTACTGCTCGGCTCTTCTAGAAGAGGACATGATAAACCTTTCCTCTCTTTATACTAATCTAAGTTGTACCCAGCTGTCATTGCTCAGTTTTGTGTTACTTCCCTCTCAAAGGAGTGTATGCTTCTATGCCACCAAGAGGGGTAGTTGCTCAATCCACCAGTGCTTCAAGCAGGGAATAAAACAGACCAAATAGTAAACTACTGTAAATTGCAGATGACTTTTGTGGCTACCTTGCATATTGTGAGGGGTTTTTTAGTGAAAATAAATTCAAATTGGTTTATTTTTTTGCTTGTTTGTTTGTTTTTTGAGACAGAGTCTCACTCTGTCATCCTGGTTAGTGTTATGGCATCATCATAGCTCACAGCAACCTCTAACTCTTGGGCTCTAGCAGTCCTCTTGCCTTGGTTTTTTGTTTTTAGTAGAGATAGAGTCTTACTCTTGCTTAGGCTGGTCTCAAACTCATGAGCTCAGACAGTCCACATGCCTTGGCCTCCCGGAGGGCTAGGACTACAGGTGTGAGCACCATGCCCAGCCTCAAATTGATTTTCTTTTTTTGCAATTTTTGGCCGGGGCTGGATTTGAACCTGTCACCTCCGGCATATGGGGCTGGTGCCCTACTCCTTTGAGCCTCAGGCACCGCCATCTCAAATTGATTTTTTAAAACTTTTTTTTTTTTGAGACAGAGTCTCACTTTGTCACCCTTGATAGAGTGCTGTGGTGTCATAGCTTACAGGAACCTCAAACTCCTGGGCTTCAGCGATTCTCTTGCCTCAGCCTTCCAAGTAGCTGGGACTACAGGTGCCACAATGCCCAGCTATTTTTTGAAGACAAGGTCTTGCTCTGGTTTAGTCTGGTCTTAAACCTGTGAACTCAGGCAATCCACCTGCCTCGGCTTCCCAGGTGCTAGGATTACAGGCGTGAGCCTCTGCACCCGACCTTAAAAACATTTTTCTCACACCTTTATTGAAACATTTGGACACGCAGAACTGTATTAGCAGAATGTGGCCATATTGTTGACACTGTTTTGGGAAATGTTGCATTATGTGGCTCTGCATCCTGGACAGTGCAGTCATGATGGCTCTCATTAGACAGAGCTGGGCACTGTGTCCCCAGCCACCCTGAGACGTAGAAAAGATCATGAGCTAATAAGTCTTGGAGCCTGGCATCTCATCCAAGGCCTGTCTGATCACAAAGCTCACCTAACACTTGGACTCAGAGTAGAGTTTTTAGTGGAAGTGTTTCCCCTCTGGTTCCACTGTGACTCTGTGCTTAAGAAAACAGGGAAGAGTTTGGTTTGGGATCTATCAATGTTAGTGTCTCTTTGTGCCCACCCTAGGGAAGCTTCCTGCAGGATCCACCTGTTCAGATGTGCACATGGCCTTGTGTGCTGTGAACCTGGCTGAATGTGCAGAGGAGAAAATCCCACCAAGCACTCTGGTTGAGATCCATCTGACTGCTGCCATGGGGCTCAAGACCCGGTGTGGGGGCAAGCTGGGCTTCCTGGCTGTGAGTATCCTTCAGTTTCATTCTACAAACCTTCCCTAAGCACTCTTCCCAGCCAGCAGCTAAGATGCCCCATCCTCAGATGCTAACCACCAAGAGGGATAGGCATTCTTTCAGTTGCTCATTCCACCAGTGCTTCAGGCAATGAATAAAACAAACCAAAATTCCTTCCCTTCTGGCCTTTTTAGGAATAAGCCTTATAGGCAGGATATTTTGGTGCCTTGGGGTAAGAACATTGCTTCAGTGACACAGGGCAGTACTTGGGGTTAATATGTGACTCTTCTGCTCTTCAAGTGGTCGTGAAAATTCTTGGAATTTCTCGTTTATGTCTCTTGGTTCTTTTATTCACCTGAAAGGTATTCTTGGGCACCAGTGTTGTTCACAGTTTTATGAACTGGGAAATGAAAATCAATACCTGTCTACAAGGAGCTCAGGCTAGATCCAGGGCAGGATCATGGTTATCAAGCGCCTCCCACATGCCTGGCTCCAGAGCCAGCCTTGGAAATTCTCAAGTGCATGATCCTGGCCCTTGTTATCAGCTAGCTGTAGTGTCTCTGGCCTCAGGTTTTCTCTGACCCTAGTGGAAGCAGGTCTGTTTTACTCAGTGCCCCACTTTGGGTAGACTGCTGGATATGTCAGATAAATTCAGAACAGGATTATTACATCTCACTATAGTGATGAGCTTAGAGTGAATAGGAATTTCCCCCATGGTGACGCTGATATGTTTCCTGAGGTTCATCATATTAGTCTAGGTGACCAATGGTGTAGGGAAGCGCAGTGTACTTTTCATGTCTCATCCCTGTTTCTGTGACCTTAGATAAGAGTATCTTCCCTTGATTGAGTGATTCAGTAAACCTTACTGAGTACCCAGTCTACACAGGGCATTTTCCCATCCTTGGGGAGCATTGGATCTGGCAGGGAATCCAGACAGAGATGCAGCCATCAGTACCTTCTGGGATGGGTGTTAGGGCAGAGCTAGCCCTCTGCCTACAGAGTACGCTGAGCTCCTAAGCTGGTCTCAGGCGAACTCAGGGGTAGGCTTTCTGGGAACACTGAATCAAGGCTGGGAGCAGGAAGCATCGGCAAGGCCATTCCCCTGTTCAGTTTGTTTGTTTTAGTGCTCTGGACTGATATCATCACACATGGAATTTCTGCGGCCCTCAAAAGTGTTTTGAAGACATTTATTTGTTTATTTATTTTAGAGACGGAGTTTCGCTATGTCACCTTCTGTAGAGTGCAGTGGCATCACAGTTTACAGCAACCTCCAACTCCTGGGCTCAGGCAATTCTCTTAACCTCAGCCTCCCAAGTAGCTGGGACTACAGGCACCCACCACAATACCCCGCTATTTTTTATTGCGGTTTGGCCAGGGCCGGGTTCAAACCTGCCACCCTTGGTATATGGGGCCGGCACCCTACTCAATGAACCATAGGCGCTGCCCTGAAGACATTTATTTTATCAAAGTAAAACATACATGTAAAAAAACATATGTTTTAACTTAATGAATTTTCACAAAGTGAGTTCACCCATGTAATAACCACCCAGATCAAGAAATAGAACATGGCCAGGTGCATTGGCTCACTTCTGCAATCTCAACACTTTGGGAAGCCAAGGTGGGAGGATTGCTTGAGGCTAGGAGGTCAAGACCAGTCTGAGCAAGAGTAAGATCTCATTTCTACAAAAAATTAAAAAATTAACCAGGCATGGTGGCTCATGCCTATAATCCTAGCGCTCTGGGAGGCCAAGGCAGGTGGATTGCCCTGAGCTCACAGGTTTGAGACCAGCCTAAACAAAAGTGAGACCCCATCTCTAAAAATAGCTGAGCACTATGGTGGGCAGCTATAGTCCCACCTACCTGGGAGACTGAGGCAAGAGAATCACTTGAGCCCAAGAGTTTGAGATTGCTGTGAGCTATGGCACTCTACAGAGGGTGATAAAGTAAGACTCTGTCTTTAAAAAAAAAAAAAGAAAATTTAGCTATGTGTGGTGGTGGGCACCTGTAGTCCCAGCTACTCAGGAGGCTAAAGCAGGAGGATCACCTGAGCCTAGAAGTTTGAGGTTGCTATGAACTATGATGACCCCATTACACTCCAGCCTCAGTGAACAGAGCAAGACACTGTCTCCAAAAAACAAAAAAAAGAGAGAGAGAGAACATTCTCAGCACCCTCAGAAGCCTCCTTCAGGTCCTCCTCCCCACTCTACTTGCTCCCCACCTAATTAACCACTATTCTAAATTCTGTTACCATAATTCAATCTGCTTGTTGTTTCTGTAAGCTTTTTACTAAAGTGCAATATGCATGTAGGAAAGTATATAAATCATAAATACAAAGTGACTTCACAAAGTAAACACACCCATATAACCAGCGAACAGATCAAGAAACAGAAAGATCTCTGAAGGCTCTCTTGGACTGCCTTGTAGTCTCTAAACTGTCCCTTTCTCCCATCCTTCCAGCTAAGGGCAACCACTATCCCACTCAACTCAGATGTTTCGCCTCCGCTTAAACTTTATATAAGGAGAGTCAGGCAGTATGTACTTCTTTGTGTCTGGCTTCTTTTGCTCAGTGTTATGTGTAAGGTTCATTTATGTTGTCATAGAGTTATAGATTGTTCATTCTAGGCGAGGTGTGGTGGCTCATACCTGTGATCCTAGCACTTTGATAGGCCAAGGCAAGAGCATAGCTTGAAGCCAAAAGTTCAGCTTAAGCCCAGGCAACACAGCAATACCACGTCTCTACAAAAAAAAATTAACCAGCCATGGTGGCATGCGCTTGTAGTCCCAGCTGGTTGGGAGGCTGAGCCAGAAAGAACATTTGAGCCCAGTTCAAGGTTGTAGTAAGCTACGGTCAAGACAGTTCAGCCCAGTCTGGGTGACAGAGCAAGACCTTGTCTCAAAAACAAAAAGAAAATTATATTGTTATTCTCATTGCTTTATAGTATTTCATCATTGTATGACTAGACTACGTAGATGGATTTTTGGATTGCTTTCTGGTTTGGGTTATTATGAAGAGTGCTGCTGTGGACCTCCTGGTACACGTTTCAGCGAACATGTGGCTGCCTTTTTAGGAATGGCAGAGGGTTATGCCCATGCCAGAGGTTATGCCTGTGTCCAGAGTGATTAAACCAATTTTCACCCTACCAACAGTGTACCAGAGTTTCCTACCAAACATGTGATGGTATCATTGTTTTGTTTTTGTTTTTGTTTAGCCCTTCTAGTATATCTCATTAAAGTTTTCATTTGTATTTCCCAGGTCATTAACGGCTTTGAGCACCTTTTCATGTTTTTGGCATTTTGGATAGTCTCTTGTAGAACCCTATTCAACTCTTACTTCTTATTTGGGATATCTGTCTTCTCATTGACTAGAGGAGTTCTCTTTTTTTTTTTTTT